GCTATATCTACTTCATATTCTAATTCCTATGCAGCTTAGAGTGTTCCTGTATTAGAAATATAGTGCACACCTCCAGCACAGTCATTTGCCAGTAGTGAGGCGTGATGATGATTTGGGCTTTGTGGCGCACTAACTACGTTAGCCAAATGGCGCCCATCAAGCCATTCAACCACGGACAACATCTTGTTAAACAGACATGAGGGACCACTCGAACAAATGACCAAAAGTATGCAATAAAATAGCTTAATTATATGTCCTGTGACATCCTAACTTGCCTTATGAGCAAAATTTGATGGGTGAAAACAGAAAACTGCCAAATCTGGTAAAAATCACGTTCTGAAAGCAGGTGAGGTTAGCAATGAGGTGTCTTACAGGGTAAAATTACTGACTTTTTGAGGGAAGCCTTCTTTCCGCTCCCCCACACAGTACCAAGTCGGTATCTTTCGCATGGTATGCTGACAGACAGGAACACCCGGCCCACCCGCAAAACACAAACATCAATCGTGCACACCAATCTTCAAGATGAAAATGTGAAACAACTAAGAGGAGCTCTGCATGAGAAGACATTTCCGAATCGCAAAATTTCGCTACCTAGCACTCCTGTATTAGCTGCGCCAGGTCTGTTCCAAAGCTAGGTGGGGCAGGATGATGTAACGTGGTGCGGAGGTGAAACTGAAATAACTTAGATTTATCATCATTGAGCCGGGCCTTGAACAAAAAAGGCTAACTAAAGAGGTTTAACAACGCGAAAACGGGGATAAAAATTTATCCCTGTTTGCTTTAATCCCTGCCTTAAATTGTCTTCTTCGTTCCATATGAATTGTTTCCAGCTGGCTGCGTATCAAACATGTTTGGGTGGCTGACGAATCAATCCGATATACGTATCAAGTATGTGCAAATCTGCAGTTGAAACGCTTTGCAGAGAAACTGGTCAATACTTTAGGCCATATATATACTTTTTGAAGAATATCGAAAAGGAAGGAAAAATGAATTTGTATGACATCTGTGTAAGAAGAAGGAAACAAAAGTACATAATTAAACATAAAAACTTATTGAATTTAGGTCAAACTTTGTAATCAAATCATAGACATTTCTTCGATTTTTCTCTCCTTTATTTCGGGAGAGGTGCAATTTAGTGATCAAGTTTCTTCGGGAAAACTAAATATGTGGAGTAAAACTCTCCATCAGGCTTTGCTGGTGATTTTAGCGGGCTTTACTTTGCTGGTGTGGTTTTCGCCTGGTGTGACTCCAAAAATTGGGATGCGTAAAAACCTTGTACTTGGCACACGGCTGTAGATTGCTATGTATTTTGTAAAGAAACCAAAATTAATGCATGCAAGCGGCCGTAGTCTCGAGGGCTCTCGGGCTTGAAGGTACCTAGTGCCCTCGCTCTGTGGATGCATAGGCATGATTCAGATGTAGGTGAGGCAGAACAAAGCCCTAGGCGTACAGGTCCTGTGGAGCCTTGTTTATGCTTAGTGGTTTCAAGTGAGCTCTGATTTGGATAACATCTTAAAATCTCTGGAAGGGTTAAAATATGGTTAAGAATGTATGGTAAGACATCAGGTAAGATTGAAGAAATGACAAAATATACGGATAAGGAGCGAAAAATTCCTCCACATGGGGTGTTACTGTACATCCAAAGTCGGTAATTCTAGGACACTGTTTATCGTTATATCTAGCCTATCGCTCTTCTCCCAAAAGCGCAAGAACGTAACAAAGAAATTGAAAATAAATTAAAATCCCGAAGCTCATAACGCCGGGCCAGTGCTTCCAGGCGCCCTTTCATGACGTTGTTCTTAAGTTGAGAGGGAAGCAGAAATCTGCTCACGCCGCAGACTGCTTTTCCTTGTACAGACCTCCCCACATTTGTTTCAATGTCAGAGCTTTGAAACTGCATGTCATTAGCACACCTGCTGTGTGCAACAGCTGTGCCTGCAATGCATTGCAGCTTCAGGAAGTCACGTCCTTTGTTCGCTCTAGCATACGCTGTCGTCATCTGTGCGAACTTAAGTGATGTGCCAGACAATCGTGCGCTATATTATTCCACCCAAGACAGCTAATTAAGAATTTCGCTCCACCAATCCATGCTGAGACGCTCTGATTCCTTTTCATATGCTGCCGAGTCTTGAAGTCGCAACTTCCGGGTGTTGCATAGTGGGATCAGTACGACGCTCTTTGGAGCCTGTACAAGGAGACTGCTGGTTCTATTTCAACGCGAGTTAACGGATCTACCGTCGGAAACCCTTGCAGCAGGCTGCTGACAAACTGATAAAAAATAAATAGAGCCCAATACCAGGTAACCCCCTTTACTAAACCGGATCTCTCAGGTTCAGTGGAGACAAACTCCTAGACTACGCGCGTGCCGCAGTGCATTCAAGAGCGTCCCGAGAGTTGCGTGATACAAGTGCGTGTGAAGACCACGTCCGCAGTGAAGACACCGGCAAATCGACCACTATGAACGCCCGCTCAGGGCCTGACAATCTATCACTATACACGAGAGCCCAGGGCCTCACATCGTCGGCGCAGTCGATGGAACGCGTGCGTTTGTCAGCCCTGGATCCTTCGAGCGGCGCACCGCCGGGCGATCTGGAGCCCCCCATTCATTAACTTCAGCGGGCCGTCCGCCGGCCGGACACGTGGGGACTCCTGACGCGGCCGTGTCAGGCCGCGTCAGAACTCCTAAACAGAACTCTTCCGCTGTGTGACTGAGTCCACAGCACAGGACTCCGCTGTGTGACAGAGTCCACAGCACAGCACTCCTTCCTCCGCTGTGTGACAGAGTCCACAGCACAGGGGTCCTCCGCTGTGTGACAGAGTCTACGCACAGGACTCCTCCGCTGTGTGGCGGATAGGTGATGATGATTTGAACTTCAGGGCACGCCAACTAAAATAGTCATATGACACCCACATGCGTGGCAGAGAGTCCATAGCTCAGATGACTCCCGTCAGCTGACTAGACAGTCAGCGGGCCCTCGCTTGGCAGCCGGGTGGCTGTCGGGGTCATACGAGCATGCTGCCCACAGAGCTGATGCACAAAAGCCGCCCCTCGCGGCGGTCGGACCGCGAACCATCTGCGCATCACGATCGGTTCATTCGTGTTCGGGTGAGGCTCGGGATCGGATCACACCTGCACCGGTCCCCACGGTGGAGAGTGACACGAGGCGCTACCGTGGTGTGTGACGCTGGCCTATAGCACCGACCTAGCGTCACATACTGGCGACACGAAGGGCTGCCCTGGGTGTGTCCGGATGGGCGATGACCGCTTCTAACGGACGGGGCGGGACCAAACCGTCCCTACGACTGGCGTTTGACTACCAACAAACTGGTGATAATCGGCCAGAGCCCACGCTAGACCACGCAGGCATCCCCGCCCGCCTCGGCGCGGTCTCCTCGCTCGTATCGAGCGTTTGCAGAAGGTCCCAGCGCACCTCCCGCCGCCGCAATCGTGCGCGGCAGGCGAGCCCGCGCGCTTGAGAAGCCGCGCAGCCGGCGGCTAATCGAATCCCCCCCCCCCCCCCAGCACACTCACACCGGCGGCGCAGCCACATCAGCACGCGGTGCGCGCGCCCACCGCCGCTCCTCGGCGGTCTTTGAGGTGGGTGCTCGAGGCCGGCCACTCCGCCAAACCGGGACGAATCTGGACCGTCGGAAGAGCCGGCGGCTCGCAGGGGCAGCCTTTCATTTCCGACTCTGCTCCCAGGCCGGGATCAAGACCGAGCCGCGGGCCCGTCTGGGCCGGGGATGACCGCAGATGCAGCGACTGACGCTGGGTGGGGGGGGGGGGGGGGAGGATGCCCAAGACACGGGCACAGGAGCCAAACGCAGCGAGGGAGCCGGTGGAGAGAGAAGACCCGCCAGCATCCGTCGCAAACCGCGATGGTCGTGACGGGAGACTGATCAGGACGGGGAACTCTTGGCAGTGAACCAAAAACCCGTGATGGTCGCAACGAGAGACTGATCGAAACGGGGAGCTCTTTGCAGAGAGCCAAAAACCCGTGATGGTCGCAACGGGAGACTTTGATCGGGACGGGGAACTCTTGGCACGGAGCCAAAAGCCGTTCCCTTCGCGGTAGGGGTCCAGTTTCGTCATGCATCTGGAGTTGGAGCTGCTACCAACCATAGTTCAGCAAGGCTGATCAAAACAGGATGTCGCACAGGCAGAATTTTGCGCACTTTGGCTACAACGGAGCGTCCGCTGATCGCGTCAGCATCAGGATTCTGGTCGCGTGAGCTCTCACCTATGTGGCCACTGCACAAAGGCGGCAACGAAATTTCGAGCAGCTGAGAAGCACGATCAGTCCGGGGCAATACATCACCACCTGATCCAAATGGCGGAGAGCACGAGCGGTGGCCATGGGGACGCGGGGTCGGGCAGCTCCCCTAGCTGTTCGGACCGGGTCTGCGGACCCTTCCAAGAAATCGCGTGTGGTTCTTGGCACCCGCGCTACAACCCAAGTGGCCCTGTCACGGGCGGCGGCCCAACAAGGACCGTGCATTGGCCGACCCCGCCGAGGGTCGGGGACATGATCACTGTCGCAGCTCGCAGCAGGAGGAAGGATGGAGGCTGGGAAGGGGTTAATGGTAGGATCACAGTTGGGAGGATGAAGTCGGAGTGCGGTCGCAGTTGCATGCATGCATGAGCATCATCGCTGACACATCCTCAACTTGGGTGCGCGTGGGGTAGTTAACAACGCGGTCTACGGGTCATGTTCCCACTTCTCCAGAAGTTTTTTAAAAAAAATAAAATATTACTCGCAAATCGTCACATACCAGTAACAAAACAGACAAGACGTCCGGCTGCCCCCTCAGACCCACATACTTGCCACCCCAAACATCCAGTGCGTGGCTTCACCCACGACAGACGGGACGGATCCGAGTTACGGCGAAGGTCACAGTTAAGATCACGGAGGCGACGCGCGTAGACGCGGCGCGCCGTCAGACACGGGTAAACTCTTTCCCAGTCGGGGGGGGGGGGGGGGGGGCGGTGGTGTACGCACCGGTCAGCTCGGTCACGGTGAATAGCTCGCTGCACCTTCAGCCACCTGGACAGCGGCTCTGTGGAAGAAAAGAAACGCCGTTAGCTATTGCACATAACGTACAGCCGCAATTGCCCGAGCCACAGCACCGTCACGAACGGCACAAATTAGAGACCGAGATAGTATCAGTCTTTTGCGGTGCTCCTTCCCGGATACACGACCTCCGCGCCCCAATCCCGTTACAGATGTGACTGATTAGACGGGCCGCTCAGCAATGCCACACGCAGAGAGTTCCACACAATTGGCTCAGCACCACAGGCAGATGCATTCCGATGACGGCGAGTTAACGTTTTTCAAAATGCGTTTCACAAGAACAGAAGAGGCGAGTGTTTTGAACACGCCGCACGCATAGATTGGTTTAATGAACTACAATCGACTCCATGAACCGCAACGGATAAGTAGCCTATCCAAAAGCATTACGCTAAAAGGCCATGTCGGCTGAGCGAAAAAAGATCGCGCCGACCCTAAGCCTTTCCGCACATGGCTGTCCGATGGCGCGTGTGTAACTGTGCAGGCGGCACCGTTTCCTGCAAGATCCCGTTCGATCGCCGAGCTGAACCTGCACCCTTGTGCCGTGTGAACCCGCCGCTGTTGCAGAGGCTCATGCATCGGCCCAGTCTTCCGCAGAAGAAGCGGAGCCGCGCCGCGGAGTAACGGGGCAGCTTGTCGACGAAATGAAGCGCAACGTGCCGCCTCATGTTTCGGTGGTCACCGGTGCCGGCGGACGCCGAGGAAAGCCGTCAAGCCGCCGCCGGAGACGTGACGGCGGAGACAGCCGTCACACGACGACAAGGGCCGCTGCCACATCCATTTCGATCGGGACTATTTTGGTCCCGACTCTGCAGGCAGGCGCGCGACACATCAGCTCGGTCCATCACTTCCGCATTGTGTAGTGACAGCCCAGAGCTGGGCGGTCCCACGCGCGGCATTTCTCACCAAAACCGGAGAGAGCGTCAGAAGAGTCTGGCCATGTGCGTGGGAGCTGACGGCGCCGTGCAATGCGTCGTCGCCCAGGCGGACCCGTGCGTGTTTACGAGCTCTGCGTTCCAATCTAGCGCTACCGTTACACGCCTACACACTGTCAGCCGGCGTAGTCTGGCTCGGTTGGATTTAGCCCGTAATCCCCTGTCCTTTCTGCTAGCAGCAGTGCAGCCGGACCGTCATCGAGGCTTAACACAACCGTGGTACAGGTCCCTCCTTGTTCCGCCCGGTCCGGATCAGACCCCGCAAGCCATGTCCCGGGGTGTGAGAACTGGCTCGCATGACATCCGATCTGACGTGACATGCCCAGATCGGACCGTTTGTACAATGACACCACTGAGCCCGTCCCCGACCGCAGCGTGGGACGCGCTCTCTCCAAGCCCCTGTGTCACCGTTGCGGAGAAACCGAACGGCACCGCAGATTTTGCGATGCCGAAGACCACTTCGCCTCTTCACTTCGCCCTCCCATAGCCAACCTGCAATGACGCCACCCCAGCGCATCCAGTCACTGCGACGGCGCGAGCATGCCGGCCGTGGCAGGGCCGCAGGAGCTTGCTTTGGTCATAACGTACCGGCGCCTAAGCCTGGACGATGTCGTGTCCGCGGCACGCGACCGCGTCCTACCTCACGCTCCCCCTCCCCCCGTGGGTGCGGCTCAGCACGCGCTGATGCCCGCCGGCGCTCCCCCAGCCTTCACGCTCGTCCCCGCGCGCCGGTCGGTACGCGGTTCGTTAGTGAGCCGTGAGTGGCGGCCGGACAAAAACCGGGCGCAACGAGCGCGCGGCCGCCGGCGACGCGCGCTGCGCCGGGCTCGCCGCCACCGCCGCTGCGCCGGGCTCGCCACCGGGGGGGGGGGGGGGGGGGGACGGGTGACTGGCCGGGCGCGGCGGAAGGAGTCGAGGAAAATCGCCTGTTCGGGCGGCGCGCCGGCCGACGGAAGCGGCCCGGCGTGGCGTGCGTGGCTCAACGGGCCCTATGCCACGGCAGCACGCCACGCGGCGGACGTGCCACGGCGCCGCTCCGACCACCGGCTGTGTCGTAACAGCAACATCGTCCGGCATGGCCGCATTGGTGACGCTTGGCCTCGGCTTCGATTGTTGCGTTGGCGCGTGGGAAGGTAAACTTCGACTATATCGTTTTCTTGAAATACTAAGCAGTAGTAATGACGTAGCTATGCATGTAACGGGTGAATAGTGTGCTTTCGGAAAGAGCTTGAATCTATGATACGAAGGTTACCTTCATTGGCAACGTCATAATTTTGTCACGCGGATTTGTTGGATGCATTTGTTCCCAACAGGTTGCGCACATCCGTCTTTAGTGTCACCCTGCTGTGAAAACAGTGAATCCACAGGTGGTTTACGACATTGTCGCGAGCTAGCAGATGGCAATAACGATCATTAAAAAAAGGATGCCAGAGGACATACCGTCACAACGGGAAAGGTCAGAAGGTGGCAAAGACGCCCGACGAGCGCGAGCCCCATATCGTCAGAGCTGTAACGAGAAAAAGGGTACATGCCAGCGCACAGCAATCCTCGCCCAGGGCAGGTTCGCATACCACAGCCAAATGTGCCAAAAATGTTTGGAGAGACGGGGATGGAGGAACGACGATTTGACCAGCATGACGGAGAAACTTAAGGAGAAGGGGATGAAGTAAGGAACAAGCCATCGGAGTCCACCGGCCTCCAGGCAAGCCAACAGAACACCCGAATTCGCATCTCATCCTGGGACCGATGTCCTGCGGAGAGCGAGAGAACGTCACTTGGATGACGCGTCCCAGCGCACGTACAGCGGCGCACGAATGCCTCACATGTCACACTCCACGCACGTTGGAGGTGTCCCCTCTGAGGACAGGTACTGGGGGGAGCGGCCGGTCCGCGCTCCCCGCAGACTGCTGGTACGGCCGGTTACCTGCTCGCGCAGTGTCACCCGGCTGGTGAGCATGCCTTGCAGAAGCAAACCGGTAGGTGTCTGAGGGAAGATATCCTCCCGTGCCTGCAGGCTCACCACCGAGACGGTCAGCACGTCCTCTGTCCAGATCACTCGAGCACACAGTACGTACGTGAGGCCCGAGAACCGCTTGAGGAGGTCAGCGAGTCCGCCGAACAACGCGACACGAGCTCTCCGCGTGCCCAGGCTGCGCCCCATTGAGAACATGGGAGACTGATCCAGCAAAATACGCAAGCACGGGGGCGCGACCAGCAAACTCCGAACGCCAGCTCTATGGCGGGATCCGCCCGACAATCCGTGAAATTGACCCGAGGTGCCGCGTATGGTGACGGCTCACCTGCGCCTCCGAGCCCGACTGACAACAGCGAAGCTGAAGCTATGAGCCACTACATATACCACCACTCTGCAACGTCTGAATCACCGTGGTGTCTGATGCATGCAGTTATGCAGTTCGAGTATCATAGTTTTCGCATATATATATATATATATATATATATATATATATATATATATATATATATATATATATGCGTGCGTGCGTGCGTGCGTGCGTGCGTGCGTGCGTGCGTGCGTGCGTGCGTGCGTGCGTGCGTGCGTGCGTGCGTGCGTGCGTGCGTGCGTGCGTGCGTGCGTGCGTGCGTGCGTGCGTGCGTGCGTGCGTGCGTGCGTGCGTGCGTGCGTGCGTGCGTGCGTGCGTGCGTGCGTGTGTGTGTGTGTGTGTGTGTGTGTGTGTGTGTGTGTGTGTGTGTGTGTGTGTGTGTGTGTGTGTGTGTGTGTGTGTGTGTGTGTGTGTGTGTGTGTGTGTGTGTGTGTGTGTGTGTGTGTGTGTGTGTGTGTGTGTGTGTGTGTACACAACAAATCGCAAGTTGAACCATTCTGCGAAAACCAGCGACGGATGACTACCGAAGCTGCTCTGCCGACAGCGAAGCCGTTGTTCTGGTGACTATGAAGGCACTAGTTCATTAAGCTGCCGTCACATAAACGTGGCTGCAACACCACAGTTCTGCACCGCAGGGCCGGGCACACCTACCCTTGCATGCCGAGTAAAACGTGGACCGCTACCATTGTTTTCGCATTTTATGGGCACCAGACACATTCAATAAGCATTCCAGGCAATTATATAAACATCAAAACATGCGGTGGACAGGGCGCACTGTTGGGAATCACCGCTGTACGTGACTGACGCATGGGGTGGACGGCGATACAGGACGGTACACATGATCGGGGAGAGGAAGGCAAATGAAGCGAGGCTATGTGACGCCGCGTCTGGCACAGCCCGTCGCCGAACGCAGCGTTTGCGTCCCTTCGGCCGGCAACCACCCGCGCCAGTACGTCGACGGCAAGACCCGGCCGACGCCCGCGGCCGTCGCCAGCGGCTCACGCCCCGTCAGTTCAGAGGTGTCGGCCCCGCACCGGGCAACTCAGACGGCCATTCCGACGGCGTGTGCGGCGGCGGCGGTCAGGTGTTGCAACGGCTCTCCGCCGCACTCGATCGGGGTGTGATCGATGCCTGCGTCACCATCGCCGCTCTACGTCAGGTGCGGCAAACAGGCGCCCGCCGGCCGGCGCCGGCGGCGCCACCTCCGCCTTGAGCGGGCGGCCCACGTCTGCTCCGATTCGGGCTGCGACCCCCTCTCCCGCCCCCCGCCCACTCCACGGCCGCCCGTGACCCCAGCGCGCCGACTGCAGACTGCAGCCGAGCTGGTATGCGCCGGATGTGCGTGACGTGGTGAGCCAACCCAGCGCCACCGGGGACACCCGACGCCGCCAGTGGCGGCTCCAGGGCGCCTGGCGACTCGGCGCCGCATGTCGGTGTGGTCGTGCGCTTACGCGCTGCCACTCTATTAAGGTGACTCAGTACGGATTGTGCGTATTCTCCCAACGACTTTTTACTTCGTCTTGCTGTTTATTTTGAGGCAGACGGCAGAGCTGAAGTTTACGGTATTTGCCACGGCGGCTTCTGGAGAAGACTGGCCCGACACACAGAGCCAGGCGTGGTCGGCAGCGGGGTCGCTTGTCGGTGCGCGGTTGCATGGCATTCAATATGATTTGCTGGTGTGCGTTTGCATGGCTGTAAACGTGATGCCGACA